CATATAAGGTCACTCCAAACTAAGTGGATCATTAAGTTGTTAACACAGCCTCACCTTCGGTGGGTCCCATTGGTACTCGACCACGTACGACAGATGGCCAAATATAAAACGCCTTCCAATACGAAGGGTACATTCTGGCTATTCTGCAAGGTTTGGACTAGGAAGGGTAGTACGGGGGAACAAGTAGCAGAGGAAGACGCAACTAGGGTTACATATTGGGCTCAATTGCTCAAAATCTGGGCGGAGGTCTTCCCGACAAGAGTAAGACAACCGAAGACGAAGAATGAAGTGCTTAGACAACCGTTATTTTGTAATCCATGGTTAAAAGACTCTCAAGGAAGACCTAGAACACTAACAGCAAAGGACGCCAAGTGGAGGAAGTGGTTAGAGCATGGGGTAGGGCAGGTAAAACATCTCTGGTCAGGCAGCAGAGGGAGATGGAAAACAGGTAGGGAGCTGAGGGAGGAAATGAAAGGCTGTTACAGACTAACTGAAAACTTGAATGGCATTCTCGTCTTCATCCCGGATGAGTGGACAAGGATATTGAAGGAACCAGACAAATGGGGATGGGGGGATTGGGCAACAATAACCTCTACTAATGAACCAGAGGCAGCCTTTCGCATAGGACAGGAGGTCGGGCCTTCTAACCAGTGGTTGGAAGCAGATATGTACACAATACTATCTCCAAGAGTCACGGTCAGTCTGTTGGATAAGGATTTGAGGGTTCCTATCGCCATTAAGAAAAGCATCTTAAGAAAGGTTAGAGTGGTTGAGAATGAAGATTTTACGATATTTGAGCCACTGACATCCATTCGGGACCTGGAAATGATCCAGCAGAGTGGGCATGGAACATCAGGGGAAGCTCGTCAAAAGTAATAAGGAGAATTAATATACTTCAGTACACCACTAAATTGGGCTACCGTATGAGGGGGAGATCATGCCATTTGGATCAGATTTTGGCGATAAGATGGGAGAAGAGACTGGATATACCAAGGGAACAGGTAGAAAGGTTACCATGGTCAACTTTGCACAGTATCAGATTGGCCGAGGTCAGGAGTATGCAGTGACTCATCTTTCATGTAGCATTCCGTGTCAATGTCTGGTTGCTCGATAAGCGAAGCAGCCTCAATAGGAATGAGGCAGATCAAGACTGTGCTATGTGTATGTGGGGCGTTTCGGAAACTCTGATCCATTGCTTGCTCCATTGCCCGGAAGCAGAACATCTCTAGTTCATAGCTCGTTCATTGTGGACACATACTACGGAGGTCCCCCTCCCGCGAAACAGGAAACTAATATTGATTGGAAGTGAGGTGCTCAAGGGATGACAGGCAGGCCACAAATATATCTTTCAGCTTCTGAGACAGTACACTTTATGGACAATCTGGAAATGAAGATGTCAGCAGGTGGTGGGCAAGATTCTGATGACTAGAATGGAAGCCAAGGCAATTCTCTATAGCCTGTTGGAGACAGAGATTAGGGCATTATCGAGAAGGACAAAGAAGCAAGTCGCTCCTAACCCAGAAAGGGCAAAGGATACCTTAACCAAATTCCAAAAAAGGGTACTAGCCCAAGGCGAAGTCGTGATCGTAGAAGGAGAGAGACTTATCTTCCATTGGTTCAAAGATGAGCGTCAGGAAGAGACTATAGATGATCAGTTGTTGACACAGGAACTTAGGCTGCCATAAGAATTAAAGTGAGGCAAGGCAAGGAAGGATAAGTGAAGGGGGTTGTAGGGTTCAAGGAATACAGGATACGGGTTCGAAGGACAACATTAGGGGAGAAAGGAAAGTTTAGGACAGAGGGAGGAGAGAACCATAGAGGAGAACACAGATGTTGGTCCACAAGGGGGGCGGGGGATACAGTCGGGGGAGGGGATAGGATAGGGCGTATTTATCAGCAGAGAAGATAATAAGTTAGCGGAAGGAGAGGATTATGACCTTATATATGGTAGAGGAGGGTAGGTTCGTGGCTGCTGGATCCTTTAAAGGAATAGCATGAAGTTTCTTAGGAGAGAGGGGCACTGGACCAGGTTTCCAGTAAGAGCCAAATTTGGGTAATGGCCCCAGTCTTCCGGGTTGAGATGTAGAGGGATTCCCGACCTCCTTTTGCTCCATATATATAACTAGCTTAGCGCCCGCGGTGCGCGGTGCGGGCAATGCCCGCACGTAAAAGAGCAGAGAGGCTAGTCAATCATGAACATTGTGTCAAGATCTCGACTCACCACCCACCAAACCCGCACCGGGCCGCTAAGAAGTACACATGAATGTTTTGATTTTTATATATACTAAGGAATATATGTATTTTTTTTTTTTAATTCAAGTAGCGAGGGGGGGGGGCTCCCCCCCCCCCCCCCACTTCGGGCTTGGTTCCACATCATGCTGCACCACACACAAAACCCAAAATGTGGCAACTAAGAAGTGCGCATGAACATTTTTTTTTTTTAAACAGTAGTCGAGAATTTTATTTTTTTTGTACAGCAGGGTCGGCGGGGGGCTTCTTGTTGCACTTGGATCCATATCTTGCTTCACCACCCACCAAACCCGCACTAGGTCGCTAAGAAGTGCGCGACTGGACTGGCTGGTACCGACAGAGGTACCGGCCTGGACTGGACTGAACTGCCCCCAAATAGAACACAGGCCTGTGAGAACAGGCCAAGGGGCTGGTCTCACAGCCCAACCAGAGGTCCGCTACACGATCCTCAGCCTGTGATGGATCACCTAGATGCAAACACGCTTCTGCCAAGAAGCGGAACTCTACCAAAGAAAAAGAAAACCTGAATCGTCTAGGATGCAGAGCAAGCTCCATGCTGAGTCCATGCGATGCAACCTAGGATAGAAAATGTCACAAAACAGCAATGTCACAGCTAACAGCCTAAGTGAAAGCAAAAACAACTACGTAGCATACATGTCTTAGGAAAGCAAAAGCAACTAACTAGCATACATGTCCTAGGAAAGCAGAAAGTAGTGACAACTAGATCCTAGAATGTTGGAGGCAGTAGCCTCAGTCTGGGAATAGCTGACTWGTGTATAAGTCCTAAGAACATCAAAAGCAGAACAGCTAAATCCTAGAAATGTCAGAGGCAGTAGCCTCAGTCTGAGAGCAACAAAGCAACAACAAGTCAACCATATGTCACAGGAGAAGTGTGTCGCAAACTAAAGGGTGGGATGGTCTCGGAGGGTGGCGAATGCAGCCTAGGGGTCGAAAACTCCTAAGGGCATCCACACATAGTGACAGGGGGAAACACATGTCATCAGGCTCAATGAAGGTAGGGAACTGGGAGCGAACAGAACCAATGACCCTAACAGATAGACCATCAGGGCGGTTAATGCTCGACTAAGGGGTGACCGCTATGGAGGGTCGACCATGCAAGGGAACAAGGGAGCCTGGTATACTGGGCGCACCTAGATGAAGCATGCGGGGCTGCCTAACTAGGGCGTGGGGGCCGGCAGAGGGTAGAAAAAGTGATGGGTAAGGGAATCATGCAAATGACTCCTAAAGTGAGGGAAGTCGGAGCTAGATCCGTAAGATGGGAAGCCAGGGCAACGCTACGGTCCCGATGCCTATGCGTATACCAAGGGAGAGCCCAACTTAGAGGAACCCGGCTAAAGGAAGACCATCATGCGACACAAGCAGGGTACTGTACAGGGTAAAGTGGTAAGAGAGTGGCGACGTCTGAAGTAGGCAGAGCTGATCGTGACGAAGTCCATGAAGCTGTCGATGACGTCCACGATGAGAAGTCCGGAATGTCATCGAGGAAGAGCCGCAACGTCGACAAACTGAAGTAGCAAGACTGGAGTGGATGGAGTACTGAGAAGTCAAGGACGTGGGAAGGTAAGTCAGAGTCAATCGTCGTATCGAGCAGGACGACGACGAGTGCGCTGTGGACGCTCAGAAGCATCCGGCTGCTGCTGAAGGTCTGCCTCAGATGGAGCAGGCTTGACTTCAGCGGTCTCCTCAACCGGGGGAGAAGGAGGAGGGTCAGTGGGTTGAGGAGGAGCAGTGAACCCAGCACGACGAGCACGATCATAGGCACGCACTAACATGCGAGCGTGCTGCAAGTGCTCGAGGGGCTCCCAGGTAGCCTCCTCATCAGGGTAACCCTTCCAACGTACGAGATACTCGACGTGGGGAGGGTTGTCGTCGGTGACTTGGCGACCAATGATGTCTGAAACGAGGAA